GTCCCCCTCCCCTCTCAGCACAGGATGGGCACAACAAACTTCCTGCTGGGATCTGCCCCAGCCCATGGTAATCCATTAACCATGCCAAGGCACTGGCTGGGAAAGTCATAACTGCACAGGGTTGAAATTACAATAGGGACTGGATGACAACATAATAGCACATAGGATCACTGCTAAAGTTCAGATCTGTGCTTTGGTTCTTTTCAATATGTGTAGCTGAAACATTTATAATATTGGAAGATAGTATATTACCGTAGATGGAACATCGGCCCTTTAACCCACAGGCTCCAGACCAAAATATTTCCAGCAATACGATCTTGTAACATGTTCTTTGTTATAGTTGTGTTTGACTTCTACATTTTAGTCCATTACAGTAGTCCATTAAAAAAAAAAAAAAAAAAAATTAAGATTTTTAAAAAGGTCTTTTGTTCTGTCTAAGAAACCTTTTATAAACATCAACTTAACTCATATCTATAACTTCAGGTTTCTTCAAGACAATGCCTGCTTGGTAAGTTAATTTGGTTTTTTAAGCTTATCTTCCAAAAGGGGCTTATTATATTCTTATTTCCTGACCATGCTGCAGAAATTTGAAGAAATCTGCGCATTTATATTTTCATTACAAAGAATATCTTCATGATCTTGTGCTTCCACTATGTTTCTCCTCCCAGCCGTGTCAGGTCCTCCGTCACCTCCTTCCATTTTGCTTAAGGGCAAAGCCTTCTTCTTCTGGTCTCTTAAGGGAAAAGCTTCATGTCCCAGAAGTCAAATCCTAATTCAGCATCTTCTCGTTCCCCTACAGTAGGACACCAGGGATTTCTCCTGACCCTCATCTCTGGAATGAGTCAAGACTATTCAGTCTGGAAAACCAATGTCTTCTCTTTCTTACCTTCCAGCCCCAAACCTAACCTCCCTGTCTATCCTGCTGTTGGTTGGGGTATACCCTCTCCATCAGCCCAGGGCACTTGAGCAGCTACTGTACAGAAACCACTCAGGTACACCACACCTGGAGGGACTGGGGTTACGGATGTATCCACTAAAACCATAGTGCCTATCGCATTTACTATACATTGAACCTTCTCTCTTTCCCCACCATGTGCAAACATTGTCTGCTGTAGGTAGGCACAGCAAAAGGGATTTATGGCTACAACAGTCAAGCTCCTGTTTATCAAGCACTTTTTCCATTATGCTGTAGTTACTGCCTCTTTCTTTTCATCAATTTCTTGACCTCTCATCTTCTTGATGACAAGCCAGTACACCTTGTCATTAAGAAAGCAAAATCTTCAGGTCAAGAAATCTGTGTTCATGAACTGCTACATATCAGACTTCTTAGCTGTTTGGTGAAAGTAAGAATTATCCTGGTCAGGCAGCAGAGCAGTAAATCAGCGCACATTCTGGGATTCACAGGAAAGGGCACTGCCTCACTGAATAACTACAGCTATTATTGGTAATAGTCTTTCAAGAACTCTCACATTAACATTGTACTATGGCAAGTAACCTAAAGGACCTCCCAGGATGATCATGACAACAATAAAAAGATACGTGAAACAAGTTTGCCAAAATGCAGTCACACGTCCAGAAGTGAAGTACGAGTCAATGGAATTGCTCTGAAAGAAGACAACTGACTAATATCCTTGATGCTGGGTTTCCAGTTCTCCTAGAGCCACATAAGAGCCTGTTGCAGCCCCAGATGTCTTCTCTGTGAAGGTCAACTGCACTGTAGTGCATTTATGACCAGTCATTTTCTGTGTAGTTTCCAGAGAAGCATTTGAGCAGACTGTGCATTTTTTTCCTCAATTGGCTATTCTCAACTAAAAAATTGTTTTAGAGATCTTGAACAAAAACACAGCCCTTGGGAGAAAAGCTTCTCTGCATTAACCATCCGACTGACACCATGAATGATTACATCCAAGCATAAAATTTAATGAGATTTCTACAAAAATGAGTGACATCTGCATAGCACTCAGGTCCTGGCTAACTGTCATACATTTGTCATCAAGGAGGCTTTTGTCCTTTATTAGTCTGCTTTCAAGAATGCCTGCTGTTGGAAATGGAAATGCTTTTTAGCAGTCATTCTGCAGACTGTGTAAGAGCACACATCTCAGAAAACATAATGACACATTGTCATGCCTAGAAATGCATTTAGAAGGTTTAAAAAACCATGAGAGAACTGTGACAACAAAATATACTGAGAATTTAGCAGGAGACATCTGCATAAATATATTTTACATCCTTTAATATAAGCAAGACATTTGTTCTTTTGCTTATAATACAGTGGCTAGAAACTCTTGAACAATATTCAGTGTGCATGGGAAAAATATTATCACAGAGGAAAAATACTAAAATATTTCCCTTTAATTTTGTTTGTGCTTGGGACCATGACATAATTCTGGGCCTAGGGCTGCAACCCAGTGAAAGCATATGATTGCATCAAGATCCCAGATTTCCTTTAAACTTTCCCTCATGGCTACAAATAAAAATTTCACTAGTGTTTTCCTACATCAACAGATAGCCTGAAACAATAGATGATAGAGATTGAAGATCACCCTGTTTTATTAAATTAGCCCCAGGACTTGCTATTCTGAGATGAAGGTCTGTCCTGGTGCTTCCCATCAAAGAACAGCAAACACTTGGCAGGAAGGCAGGAGTGCAGAGGACACATCTTTCTGCCACATTTTCTCCCAGGAAGAAAAGCAGGACCTTTCAACTGCAAATGAAGATGTGGCTCCAAAAGACCAAGAGTCACAAGATCTTATCCCAGCACTGTTTGTCGCTCAATGAAAGGCACTGGCAGCAGCAAAGTCAGGACTGCTGAGCAGGCAGAGCAAGGGAAGAGGAGACAATCCCACCACTGAAGCTGCTCACTAACCATGGAAGTGGAAAACCTTATTCTTCCAATAATCCAGAACTGTACCCTGGGCTCCTGTGAAGAGGACTGCAGTGTGTTATAGAGACAAGCTTCTTCCATCATTTAACCATAATACTAAACTTTACTGAATTCCTTCTATTCAAGGAATGGAAGGAATTTAATCCCTTGAGTTTCAAACATTCATTTGCCTTTTTGTTGATAGTATTTCTAAATGCCGTATATTTCTGTCATTTTAATGTCAATTAGTTCCTTGTAGATCATTGCCAAGCAAACAGAGGCAAGTGAATAGCATAAATTGCTTTCTCGTTTAAAGGATTTAATCTGTCTGTCACTCTGAAGCTATTGAGCCCAACTATTACAAAATTCTGATCATACTGTTGTCATAGTTCATGTAAATGTGCTTTTGTTGAAGGCATATCACAGAAAATATGAAGCTGTTTGCAGCTGCAAATGACAAAAAATCACAGCAGCTAAAAATATTTCAGTTAATGGGCTTTTCTAGCCTTTCATATTCAGATAAATTTGTTTCTACTCATGGACTAAGGATTCTAGCCAGCAAAAGATTTGATTGCATGAAATAGCACTAAAATATAATAATGCTGGGCTGAGTAATGCAGAAATCCTGGCTACAGCTGCCACTTTAAATGGAGGCACCAGACCCAAATATTTGCCACCCTGATCTGCATGTGCTGAGCAATGACAGTTCAGCAAGTGGGACCACACCGCTCACCACAGCTCGCAGGAATGGAGGTGTCCAAAGGACCTGCTCCACTACAGCTCATGATACATGCAAACGACATTGGGCCACTGCAAAAGTGTAGCAGCAATTGCTCTCTATTAATAAGGCTGTTTCCATCACCACCCTTCCTGCAGTTTCATTTTAAAAGAAAGTGTCCAGCAGTGCATGTCTGATTTCACAGTCCTCCATCTGTGTAGGAGTGGAAGCAAAACTTCAGCCTTCAAAAAGAGAAGGATGGAAAAGAGTCAGAAGGGTCTTGGATGCCAACAAAATCCAGATTTTTCATAAATAATTATAGGTACTAATAATATTAATATTTGAAAGACGTATTAAGTGCTGTCCTTCAGGACTTGTATAAGCTTTTAAGTATAAGAAACCACAGGAGAGATGTTTATTCTGCATTTACCCAACACAGAGATGCATATTTCCCCGGAACACCTGGTTACAACAACTGTGGAAGAGGATCTTGAACCAGGAGAACCTTGCCTCCAATTCAGTTTGGCAGGTGCAAATGGACAGTGTTTTAAAACACCAGTGATATCAACATCAGGAAGAATTAAAGTAGAAAACAGGGGGTGGGACTGAGATGGTATGGCTGCATTGTTCTTTGCAAAGTCATGTTTGCTACCAGAGACCTCACTTATGGGATCAATCACATGGCCTATACAAACAGTGATTAGCATATTCTCATTGGATGCAGTCGAACGGAATAAATAATCCTTTCATTTCTGAAGTGAGAAGTTGTTGTGGGTTTTTTGTTTGTTTTTAATGGAACCGTAGTAATCATCAGCCTTCAAAATGTTTGAGTTTCAATTTTGTTTTGTTTTTAATATGTTTCAACCAAACTGTCAATGGACTTCCAGCAGGAGAGTAATCCAGGTGGTTTCCCTGAATGAGTGAATTTGAGAAAAAAAGATGAATGCTTTATTCTTTATTCAGTTATTAGTAATATTGTTCTTCAAGAAGCACATCCACCTGTGCTTCATTTTGATCACTATTTCTGCTGACAAGTCTCACGAAAAGAGAAGATGTGATTGCAACTGTTCAGTCTGCCCTGAATGCTTCCTAAAGTTGCTCTTTTTTTCCTCTAATTTTAGGTTCAGAGCAATTATAACAGAGAATTTTTTTTAAATCGGTTTCTATTTCCAGTTCTTTTTTGTCGCTCTGACAAGTTGATTGATACTCACCCACACAGCATTTAAAGAGTAGAAACAATTGTATTTTACCAGCAGAAATCATGGAAATGAAGTATCTCTGTGCTGTAATAGTGTGCATTTTAACCCTTGTATTTCACGGATATTGAAGTCCACCAGGTCCCTACAGAATGCGTCTCCTGTATTATTGCTGCTCATCCATGATGGTGTGTTCTGTTTGATTATTCCACTTTATTTCTAGGTCCTCCTGGTCCCCCAGGGGTTGTAATAGTGGAGGAAATTACAGACACCACAGCAACACTCTCCTGGAGTCCTGGGGCAGACAATCACAGCCCTATCTCCCTCTACAACCTGCAAGCACGCAGTCCATTTTCTCTTGGCTGGCAGACCGTAAAAACAGGTGAGAAAAACTTTCAAACAGCACAAGTAGACTGTTCAAAACTCCTGCTCATCACAGTAATAACCACTGGCAACTGCAGGAACAGATACTCTTAAGAGAACAATGATAAATTAAAAGCACTGATTTTTTTTCTTTTTTTTCATTCCTTTCAAGTTACTTAGCAACAGCTCTGAAAGGACAACACAAAGGCACCTGCCATGATGCATCTGTGAATAAGCAGAAAGCTCTCCCCCATATCCTTCAGTCTGTGTCTTTTCAGGAGTACCACAGCATCAGAAAACCTAGCTGTGATTTCTGACATATTAGATCCTTGGTGTCTATCATTTCTAATGGCCAAATTGTATCATTTGCCACTGAGACATTGCATGTGAGCTTCTGATTTCTGAGTGACCTGCACATTTCTTTACTGTTTGCAGTTCCAGATATGATAAGTGGTGACATGGAGTCTGCTATGGCTGTCGAACTGAACCCTTGGGTGGAGTATGAGTTCAGAGTAGTAGCAACCAACCAAATTGGAACCGGAGACCCAAGTGCACCATCGCGAGTGATCAGAACCAACGAAGCAGGTAACAAGAGGATAAACAGGTTAACTTTCCAGGACTACCAGTGACAAAAACTGTTTTCATATAATAATAGACCTATTCTCTTCTCCCTGGTACACATCTTTGTGTTCAGTTGTTACTGGTACTGGGTGATATTATTTGTAATGGGGAGCCAGTTTGTTTCAATAACAGAAATATTGTTTAATATACAGAAATTTCAAATAAACTCATTCCCTACTGTCTTCATCCATCCAGGCTGCCTTAGTCTTCATCTTATGCTTAAGCCATCGTTGCCTGCCCTCTGGCAGGCTTGCACTGCTCTTCAGTTGTAGGCTGCTTCTCAATCTCTTCAAACAGCTGCTCCCAAGCAGCCTCTCCCCCCTTATCTCCTAATAATTTATCTCCTTGAAGGTGCTCAGAAGTTTTTTTCAGCGAGATAGAGGAGCCATGGGAAGTTGCTCTACTTGCATTTAAAATTTCATTATATTTCTGACTGGGATGGTACTGTAGGAGCCCAGGAAAAACGTTTTATGTCCTATGTGGTTCTCTTGCAAATTACAGTGGTCTTGGAAAGTTTAGAATCATTGACAGTAACTTGGGCAGAATGAAGGGAGACAAAGAAGAATTGTGAATCTGAGACTCAGGAGGTCTAGACAGTTTTCATTTTGTTTTGATGTTTCTTCAGTTGAATAATTTGTAAGTAGTTTATTAATCACACAGAATAGGTTGTGTGCCAAAATCAAACATTACAATTGAATTTGAAAGTATAACTGGTTTTGTAGTTGTAAATATTCTGGACAAATATTGCAGTTGTGTTGCACTCTGTCTGCTCATTAAGGCAGATTATAAGAATTACAAGTGTCAATGCCAAAACGTGTCTGCCTCTCTCATTCTGAAATAAAATTCTTGTCTTTTAAGATATGTTAATCTTGTGTCTGAGCTTCACAGTTAACTGGTCTGTGTATATGCCACCTATTAACATTTCCAGAAGAAAGGTCAGGCTGATTTTTTTAGATAGAACCACAGAATCAAACAAATAATTGGGACTGGAGGGCATCTCAAGAGGTCTCTAGTCCAGCCTCCTGCTCAAAGCTGGGTAATCTGACTTCAGAGCAGGTTGCTTAGGGCTTTGTCCAGTTGAGTCTTCAAAAGCTCCGGGGATGAAGATTGCACAGGCTCCCTGGGCAACCTGTGCCAGCAGTTAACTAATCTCATTGTGACCTTTCTTTCAATATATCCAGCCAGAACTCCCACTATTTCAGCTTATGACCACTGTCTCTTGTGTTCCCACCTTCTGTCACTATGTAGAACCCATCTCTGCCTCATCAATGACCTCCCTGTAGGCACTGGGCGCTGCCATCTCTGCTGCAGGCTGAACAAGCCCAGCTCCTGCAGCCTCTCCTCACAAGGCAAGTGTTTCAGCCTCACCATCCCAGTACTCTCCTCTGAATTTGCTCCAGTTGATCAATGTTTTTCTCATCATGGCACCCAAAACTGGATGCACTGTTTCAGATTAAGTCTAACAAACCTATCTTCAGTTGTAATAAAACATATTTCTTTTTCTGCTTTAAATAACTGTGTAGTTGCTAGCTGCCATTAAATGTCACTATGCAATCACAGAACCACACTGAAATGGTTTGATTCCCATTCACACATGTAGAAGGATGTTTCCTTTCCAGCACCCCCTCATCTTCTGCAAGGTCCCCACAGCGTGAAACTCAATAACTTTATAGCAGAAGCTTCAGATGCTACATCTGTTGTTCCATTAAGAAGATGAGGAAAGGAAAATGAAACAAAAAACACAGGCTACTTTCACCTCAAATGATTTTCAAAAAACCCTTATTTCACCACCATTATTCCTCCCTTGATTTTGTACCACATTTCTTTGGCAGTGAACATTCTGCTGGACCCAAATGTTTGAATAGCTTCTCTATTTATTCAGGTGGTACCTATCAGAGAGGACACAAACATCCTGGAAGAAGTTTATCCTGTAATAGATTGCACCCCTGGGATTATGTTATTTTGGATTTATTAATATGTTCTCTGTTTTTGAAAGGGTAGTTTAGGATTTTAATCAACCAGATGTATTTAAGGTGTGAGCAAACATTCTTCTCACAAACTGAAGTTTGAAAATGTTAGATTTCATCTAGCTTTCGTATTTTTTAGGTTCCATCTTCTTCTTCCTCACTGTTTACTAACCAAAGGCTATATTTATTAACATATAGTCCTACAACTCTAGTGAAATTCTTCTTCATGCACATCCATTTTCAATATTCCTTTGGACAATCATTGCAACATTGCCTCTGTAAAAATGAACTGACAAATTATAATAATGGTCAGCAAAAAAAAAAAAAAAAATTACAGAACAGACAAAACATGCAGTGTGTGGTGTATTTTCACCCAGGGATTAGAATTTATTTCTGGGTAATACTCCACTATTGCTGCCATCAGAAGGAACAGAGTCTTTAACTCCAGTAGCAATGATCTGTACTCCAGTACAGATCTTCTTGGATAATAAATCAGTAACATATTAGTTCAAATAGGAAAAAGGACACACTAGATGATTACTTGCACTTTCAGTTTCCCAGTTAGGAACACCTTTTTGCTAACAGAGTTACAGCTGCACAAATGTCATGTTACAAGGGAGTGTTTTGTAGCATGACATTGAAATGCAGACAGGTGCCAGTAAAACAACTTAACAGCCTTCAGAGGACTTGAAGCTGAATTTATGTGGTGTGCCTGCTAAACACGGCATAGTACAGCAGAAGTCTGTTGCCATCACCTCAATATCGAAAGACTTTCTTTAAGAAAAAGTTTTGTTTCTGTTTCAGTTGTGAATGGTTTTGGGGTTTGTGGGGGTTTTTCAATTAAAAAAGATAGATGAAGTCTTATTTTTTTATTCTATAGAGGGAGTGAGAAGATGGGAGTTACAATAAGATATAACTTCCCAGTTTGTTAGAACCTTGAGTTGTAAAGTCGGAACAACTCAATGGACTCTGCTTTAAACAATCAAAGAAAAAACCCTGCTACACATAAAATTCTTTGCAAAATACCATGCTGCTTATAATTTTTATGACACTCTTGAAACGACAGAGGCTGTCATTCAGGACACCACTTTTTCTTGATCTCCAGATATTCTTGAAGTCCAGAGCCTCTTTAGCTCTGTCCTCTGAGAGAGCTTTCAGTGACTGTGTGAATTATCACCCTTGGTATAGTTTTCAGATGTCAAAGGGTTTCAGATTTGGTTTCCCAAATTAGCACATTAATATCTATCTTTGTGTACCCAGTGACCCATTATTTTTCAGTATCTCTCTATTACTAAGTTTTATGCTTTGTGTACCCAGTGACCCATTATTTTTCGGAATCTCTCTATTACTAATCTTTTGTCTGAAAGCTTCAAGGGAAAATCTCTGTTAACATGGGCTTCAGTTCTAATATACAGGCATGTGAGCACGTGATCTGAATTCTTAAAAGACTTGTATTTGAAAGAATATTATATTTCAGAAAGAACACAGCATCAACCTTTCTATTCATGACCCAGGCAGAGTAACCTGGCTGTTTGCAGTGATGTTAGATGTGGTCCACAAGCAAAAACAGGCAGGGTGTCCCTCCACCGGGTAAAACTCCAGAAATATCAGTCTGCCAGCAGAGCAGGTGACTGTGGCTCATGCTTAGATCCACAAGGCTGAATGATAGCTGTGTAGACAATCCTCAGAGGCAGCAAATGTGTGATTCTGCTTCCATTATTTTATATTGAAATGGAAATCAGCATCTGTAATTTAATGGCACAAGCTAATTTGACTGGAGACTAAAGTCTTTTTCTCTCCCCACACCTCACTTATTTTATCACTTATTTTATCACTTCTTCCCCAAGGTAGTAACAACATTTTATTTTAGCCCATTATCTAAAAATACCCACGGAAACAATACTCGGGATGGTGTAAGGAAATCAACAGAATAATAAACAGGTTTCCACTTGCTTTAATTTTCTAATTAAACCCTAAGCTTGTTACTTAGTTCATATTTAGTTAACATGATTGCTTTTCATAGCTACTTTCATCAGAATGGATAATACCGCAATTTTCTGGCACATCTAACTTATAGCCAGCTGCTGCATTTCTGTCAGTTCTAGCCTTGATACATATTTTACAGGTCCACAAGGTGAAAAGAGCCAATAACATGAACTTAAACATGTCTGGCATTCCACAAAGGCAGTCGGGCATTTGAAGCCTGGGGGCAAAGCATCAATTACATTATCTATTCATGGGGAAACATGGGGAGAGAGAAATTGCATAGAATCAAAGTTTAACCTGCTAATCATGCATGCAAACATGACTTTATGAGGTAACAGTGTAATGTACTCTATTAGGAGCAGATTGTACATAGGCTTTATTTTTAATAAGTCCTTATTTTCCATTAAGTGGATTTTATTCTCATCTAGAATTTCTTCATAGCATAACATGAAATGCCCCTGTTCCATCAAAAAAAGTTATCTGTTTTAGACTGGCTTTGTTTTGGGCTTGGGGGGGTGTGTGGGGGGGGTGTTTTATTTGTGTGTGACCTGTATAAAAGAAGTTTCAGCTTTTCCCATTATCATAACTATTTTTGCTCTAGAAAAAATTATTAACCTGCTGTATCTGTGACATTTGGAGATGATTATGTGGGCTACTAAAACCTTTGTAGAAAATGTGCTTTTCCATAGGAAAAAAACAAAAGGAGAAGAGAAGGTAAACGGTAGTCACTGACTGCATGGGTATATTTAAAACAAATAGGCTACTAACACGTAATATTGCAGGCTCGAACTAGCATGCAGTATATACTGACAAAGAATCCAAACGTGTGTGCTACTAGAAGACATAACAGGAATGCTAAGGAATTGGTTCTCTGGTATATATGCCACAGCAATAGAGATTTCAGTCCTATATGTGGTGATTTGGAGGGTATTCAGCCTGAGTCCCATAGCCATGCATGACACTATTATCAGTGAACAGAACTGAATTCTATCATCTCCTACTAAATAACAA